GGTGCAGGAGGATTACTCGGATCATGCCTAGGAGCTGTGTGGTGCCCACCAAGGGACTGTTTCTTACTGGATCTGTTTTCTGTTGAGATCGGCTCTTAGAAGCTGAACAGCATGCTGTGCTTGGAACATAGCGTCCAGGAGCTCTGGAGGTGATAAAGACAGGCTGAGCTAGAAACCTTTATCCCACGGGCTCTGCTTTTCAGAACCCTCTAACTAGCCAAGGAGATCTCTGTCCTGCCAGGTCCTAGTCTCCATCCAGCCAAAATATTCACGAAGAACTGCTAGATCAGGGGTTCCTATTTGTGCTTCTCAGCTCAAGCTCCTGAGAGGGGGCTGTTACCAGAGCAGCAGGTCAGTTTTCAGTGTTTGTCCCCACGACTTCCCTCTCCCCAGACCTTCTCTGCTCTCTGTTGCTGTAGGGCTTTGGCAAAGTGGGGCTGCACACTATGAAGTACCTGCACGAGTATGGAGCCCGCTGCGTCTGTGTTGGGGAGACAGACGGAGCCATTTACAATCCCAGAGGGATCGACCCCAAGGAGCTAGAAGACTATGAGCAAGTGAGTTAAGCCCAGTCAACCCAGCCCCTGTTCTTAGGGAGTGGTGGTCAGTGCCTGTCTCTGAAACGCCCACGGAGAAGGGGGCTGCCCCTCACCTTCTGCTGAGTCCAGCTCTGAGGGCAGTGCTCGATGCTGCCAGGCTGGGCCCAGCTGGGCTCTCCTGTTCGTTCCAGGGCCACGGCACCATAGTTGGCTTCCCAAAAGCAGAGCCCTGTGATGGCAGCATCCTGGAGGTGCCCTGCGACATCCTCATTCCTGCCGCTATTGAGAAGCAGCTCACGAGGGAGAATGCACCCCGGGTGCAAGCAAAGGTACAGATCGCTCGTGCCGCACGCTCCCAACAGGCCCTGCATCAGTGCGAGTGACAGCAGCCCAGACGAACCTTCGCTTTTGGCACTCGGCACCCCAGGGAGGTGTCACATCACTGCACTGACAGCTCGCCCGCTGTGCCAGAGGGACAGAGCCTGAGGCAGAGGTGGCAGGTCACATAATTCAGGGGAAGAGGAAAGCCTGAGCCTTTCCCTTTGCTGGCAGGGAGCAAGGATTGTTGGAGTGACCTTGGCTGGCTCTTCTGGCATCCTTAGTCTTCATTGCTGTATCAGATCCTCCCCTCAGGGCAGGGGAGATGATATCCTCGAAGGTACTGGGTGTCATGGTTTTGACACTGAAAATCATAGGCAGCAGGTAAGAGTGAACAAAGTAGGGGACTACTATGAATACCAGCTTCCTCCCTTCACTGTGAGCTCTAGGGACCAAAGGGACAGGGCGTGCTGGGACCTGGGACTCTGTCACAGCCAAGGTCTTTTGCAGCCTGAGCCTTTAATCATTCTGTGCGAAACATGAGGTCTGCGCTTTTGCTCATCCTGAACAGCTTCGGTGGGGAGGTGAGCGCCCAGACCCCTGCCACCAGAAGTGGCCTGGTGGGGGGGATCCAGCAGCAGGGAAAGCAGCCTGTCACTGGTTTCTTCTTTCATTTCTTCCGCCTATCTCACCTCTGCTCTGCTTCTGCTCTCAGATCATTGCAGAAGCTGCCAATGGCCCCACTACACCAGCAGCACACGAGATATTCCTGCAAAGAAACATCCTGGTCATCCCGGTATGTCCATCCCCACACACAAGGGGAGATGGTGGGCTCGTGGCTATTAGGGCCATACGGTGGTGTCAGCTGCACTGATGTGGATCCAGCTGGGCTCTGCCAGGCTCTGGGATCAGGCAGCGTTGATGGTGCTCTCTCAGTCAGCCTGTTCCCTGCCTTGCCCCCAGCTCCTGAGCACATCTCAGATGCTGGTTTCCCGTCTGAACCCTCCTGGTTCTTGGCTGCAGCAGCAATAGACTATGGGGCTCCTGGCCAGCACCGGGATGTCCTGCGGCCACTGATGGGCCAACAGCAAACCGTGCCACATCACACGAGGTGTCAGAGCAGCTGGTGTCTCTGCTCAGAGGCAGTGCAGAGCCACCGTGGCTCTAGGATTCAGCCATCCCAGTAACCTCGGGACTGTCTCTGAGGGCAGAGCCCAAGGGTATGGGGAGGGACCCAAGGCGGAGGAGGAGAGATCCGCAGATGGGTCATGGGTCTTGGGGTCACCCTAAGCAGCAAATCTGAAGCGTGTACTGCCCTTGGCAGGACGTGTACGTGAATGCAGGTGGTGTGACCGTTTCCTTCTTCGAGTGGCTGAAGAACTTGAACCACGTTAGCTACGGCCGCCTCAGCTTCAAGTATGAGCGGGAATCCAGCTACCACCTCCTGCAGTCAGTGCAGCACAGCCTGGAGCAGTGGTTTGGCAAGGCGAGAGGGGAGATCCCCATCGTCCCGTCCCCAGAGTTCCAGGCCCGCGTGACTGTAAGTGTCTACAACCATGGAGGGTTGTCCTGGCTGGCTCACTTGTTTCACGTTCACAGACACTCATGTCTGCCGTCCCAGTGCTGAAAGCTGAGCTTGTGGCACACACAGAGCCCCCTGTGCTATCATTCTACTAGTGGAGGGGATGGAGTGGAGATGCTGTGTATGGTGTACAGCCCTACCATCTGAGGGTGCTGCTGGGTGCTGCAGGGAGTCCCTTGGGAGCCAAGCCATGTGCTGGAGCCAGCTGCAGAGGTGGCAAGCCAAGCTTAGACCACCTGTGGTGGTCTTGCACCGAGCAGAGGGGCTGTGTTTGATAAATGGGTTTGGGGAGCCAACCTCTAGCCTTTCCCACAAAGGATTCACTTATTCTCCCCCTCAGGGTGCCTCAGAGAAGGACATCGTGTATTCGGGACTGGCCTACACCATGGAGCAGTCAGCCAAGGTACCTCCACGGGCTCCTGGTCTCGCCCATCCCTGCTGTCGGGCCCCTCGCCTCGCTGCAGAGGCTCTGTGCTGTATTTGAGGGGTGTCTGAGGTCAGCACGAGGCCTGGGTTTATCTTCCCGGTGGTGGCTATGTCCACCCTTTGAGTAAAGCCTCATGCTCAGCAGTGTCCCTTGTTGCTGTTGGGTCCCTGTCCCTGTCCCTCTCTCCGTCCCCCTGAACCTGTGTTCCCCATTTCCAGGGTTGCTTAGATGAGCCAGCGGGTGCAGGGTGGTGCCGGCACTGCTGGGTGGGGGGTCTCATGCCACCCCTCAGGGAAGTGGCTGCATGCCGTGCTCGGCAGCGAGTGGTGTGCGTGAAGCTCGCCCGTGGGCGCAGGGTCTGTCCCCAGGGGAGTGCTGTGGGGCAGCAGTGGGAAAGCATCTCCAGACCCGCTCGTAGATGGCTCCAGGTCTTACGGAACAGCCCGCTTGGTCGTTTGGTGTGGAGGTGACCTCTTCCCCTTCGGGTGCTCCCGGGGCCTGGCCTGATGCTTGCATGCGTAGCACTGCCTGCACCCTCCTCTGCGTCCTCTGCCCACCCCTCACCCCCAGACCCTCCCCGCATACACCGGCCTCACAGCTCTCCTCTCTCTCTAGCAAATTATGACCATGGCTGCAAGGTACAACCTGGGCCTGGACCAGAGAACCGCTGCCTACCTGTGCGCTCTGGAGAAGGTGTTCACCGTGTACAATGAGGCCGGCTTCACCTACTGACGCAGCACCCGGCAGGGCTGCCCCGGGCATCACTGCCAGCCGCACGGTGAGGGTCACAGTCCTGCTGCGCAGGGGGTGCCCAGGACACCGCGTGCTGCACAGAGGGCGCACCCTGGTCTCTATAAATGGTTGGTTTGAGCACATTCTCTCCCTGCTGTCTGGCTCTCAGTTCTCCTGGGCAGGGGGCTGTCTTCCCCGACGCTGCCTCAGCCCCTTTACAGCCTCCTGGGCACTGGAGGAAGCCGTGCTGATGCTGGTTTGGGTCTGCTTGCCCATGGCTGGCAGAATTGGACAAGGGAAGGAAAAAATGCAATTAGCTTTAGGGGAGGGGACAGCCCACGGCACAACCAGACCTAGGAAAAGCTGTCTCGGTCCATTTAATACTGCACGGTGGGTGCTGCAAGCACTGCTGCAACTGGCGCAGACATGGGGAGCAGAGCCAGGGCAGGGATTTGCAGGCATCAGCAAACCTGTTGTGTGTCTGTGCTGACTGCTGCAGCTTCACTCTGCCGGCAAAGCTGGTGAGCCACCACGGGTAGGGGATTTAATCTGATATTCATGGTGGGGAGACTCAGCCCAACCTCTCATGCCGGCCTGTGCTGCAGTCAAGGGGCTGGAGGCTGGCTGGGGACTCGGGCTGGGCTGGTGGCCCTGCCCTGGGCGAGCTGAAGGCTCAAGGACTGCGCTCTGGGGTGTGCACAGGACCCCCTGCTGTGGTGATGTCGGTTAGTGGTGTGTGGCAGTCACCTGCCCTTGAGGTGGTCACACTGCAGCTGAGCAAGCTGCGGGTGCCAGCCATGTCCCCGGCCCCCTGAGGGGACCACGGTCACGTAGGAAGGTGGGGACAGCAGAGGAGAGGCTCCTCTTTGCTCTGCACTTCTAGCACAAGATCAGGGTGCGTCCCTAGGAGGTGCCTTACAAACAGCAGCACATCCTGCTGCAGGGGGGACGGGGGGAAGCCTGTGCCCAGCACCTGAACCCCCTCTGCACAGCCTGGGAGGGAACCGGTGCTCCTGGGAGGGAACCAGTGCTCGAGCCCAGGACTGTGTCTAGTCTCATCCTGGCTCGGGGTCCTCAGCCCCAAAAGGCCGCCTGCATTCACTTGCAGACGCAAAGCACTGCAGCCAGCACACAGGCAGGTGGCACGGGGACACTGCCTGCGCCCCAGGCTTCAGCCAGAGCGTGGCTGGAGGCCCAGGGCACAGTGACCTGCTTCTGACGCAGCAGCGAGCAGACAGGAAGGCATCTTGTCCTCACGAGGACCCGGTCCTGCCCACTCCCCCAGCCGGAAGGGGTCAGCTAGTCTGTCCCAGCCCCTCATTCCTCTTCCCAAAACTACCCCTGCCACCGAAGCACAGGGCCACCCCTCTCCCCAGGGAACCCACAAGCAGGACCAGGAAGCTACAGACAAGAGTTGGCTTTATTCACGGACACGGGGGCAGCTGTGTCACTGGCAGCTGCCCTCGTATTGCACATCCAGCGACGGGGGTGGGGGGATATCCATGCCACGTCACAACACAGCGTCGGCACTATGGGACCTCGAGGGGGGTGCGGGCACCGTCACCACCCAGCAGGCTGGGGAGGCTTGGGCGCCAAGGGTTCACAAAGGCAAAAGACCCGTCCACCCATAGATAGAGAGATATATATAAAAAAAAATAGTTCCACAATGACCAGAGCAGAACCACAAGGACACGCGTGCAAGCTAAATGTACAGCAGCCCGCGAGCAGGTAAACATGCTTTGTACAGACACAGACACCAGGACGCAGCCGGGGTTTATGGCGCTGGGAGGGATACAGAGCGATAAACCCGGGCTTCACGGACACACGCACGCACACACGCACACCAGCCCCTGCGGGCAATGCCCACGGCTCGGGCACGCGCCAGGGCTTGGGGGCTTGGACACGGCGGGTTTTTCTCACTGCTAGACATGGTACGGAGACATGGACACAGTCCCTTGGAACGGAACTGGAGGAAGAACTCGTGAGCGAACGGGGCAGGGGCACTCCTGCTCCTCCCCGGCACGTGGGCACCAGCCGGGGCCGACTGGGGAGGAGCAGGGGGCTACCGGCGGTTCGTTGTGCTGCTGGTGGAAGAGGCGAGGACGGGGGTCCATTATGCCTCTGGCTCGTATTCCTGGTATTCCTCCTGTGGGGTGAGGAAAGAAAGAGTTGGTGAGAGAGCTCAGGTGGGGCATGGAGCCCCTGTCCCCCTCAGCCCCACGCCAGCCTGCCCGCGAGGCTGCAGGGCTGCGTGCATGGGGCACCTGGGAGCAGGCAGGCTCTGGGCTTCGCTCCGCACAGCGATGGCCACCAGCACACTGAGCGCTGGCACCCCGTGCCCTCTGCGGTGCCCTGTGCCACCCCACCACCCTGTCCCCTCACCTGCGGGGGCTCCTCGTAGCTCTCCCCCTCTGGCTCCAGCAGCGGCTCGACCAGCGGCTCCTCAACAGCCTCCTGGGCCACCTCCTCCGG